GGGCAGCAGGGATCTCCATACATGCCTGCATGTGACACTTGCAAGAGGTTGTAGGTTGTTGCAAACATATTGCTTTGATTTATTTTACTTCAATACTTTCATTAAAACATATCTGGGGTTCGCAGATGCCAAGAGTTATTCAAATGTCTTTTCGAACATAATGGAATAACGGCTGATGGTTCGTTTTTGTAGGAAAGAAAGGGTGTGTGCAAGAGAAATAGTGAGTTAGCACCGCTCACATGACTAACGGGAAAAACGGCATTTCAAGCCACAAATAGCAGGGTACGGATGAACCAAATGTCACTCCGAGGTAACGTGCTACAACAGTAACATTTTCTTCTTCTAAAACAGAATCCGGAGAGAAGCAGAATGAGTGCTATTTTAAAACAGACCGCTAGATTTTTGTTTTCGGGCCTGATGTGCCCACCTCCAAAAAGGGGGGCAAAAGGAGGTGGTGGTTAGACTGAACAAGAGGGCCCTGAGGAGCAGGATTATGACGAATTAGATGAGGAATATGGGACCGGATGTGCATGGAATTGCAATACAACAATGCAACAGTGTGTTAAAATGTCATTAATCTTTATAGAAAAAAAATGTAACGGTAATGTATAAAGATTTGTATAAGGATCTGTCATAATATCCAGGATTTTTAAGCAGTGTGATACTTCTGTGGAAGCAAGACATAAGACATTTTTTATTCAATTAATTTTTTTGCTGAATGGCATTTTTGTTGGACAATAAAGGTAAGACATAAGCCTCTTTATCACTTCAATTCAAGGTTTTTCATCTCTACTGTATAAATGCCAAAACGATGGTATGAGGCACATGATTGGTTGCTTCTAACCGTAACATACTTGCAAGTTTGACAGCACAATGCAGGGTTAATAGTGCAAAAGCATAACCCCAGGTAAAAAGCAGTGCCAACCCTGCTTTTAAATTACATTTAAAAATTTTAATTTTGAATTAGTGTGAAATGTACCTTTAAAAGAGGAGTTTAGAACGATGATAACCTGTGGTTAAACACGGTGTGAAAAGCCCTTTTCAGAATTAAGGCCACTAAGAAAGGTTCTTTCTTATACAAATGAACAGCTTCCCTCATTATCTCTTTGTAGGCCTTTAGCATTTAGAGAATAGGAGATTCCTTGTCTGTTTGGATTTTATTTGTTTATGATGTCTACAAATGTTCCACAGCAGGCTTTCTCTATCCAGGGCTTTGGAGGTTTGTACCTACAGGGCATAGCAGCACAGAGCGCTCCTGGCTCCAGACCAGGCCATTAAAAAAGGAAAAGGGGAGGAGGGGAAGACCGACTAGATTGGTGGGTTTGGTAATTGCTTGCCCTGGTTTTTGCAAATATGCTTCCTCTTGCACTTTTGCTACACCTCTGAGGGCCCTGAGTAAAACAGCTTGTCCCAAAGAGACTCAAGAATTATATAAATAAATGCTTTTTGTTTCTTACTCTGAAGGCTGTAAGTACTGTAGCAACTAAATGTTGTTATTTTGCTCCCTAAAGGCTCAGTTGAAGGCAGAAGCTAAATACAGTTTAATCTCTCTGATCGCATATATACGGTATAATTCATACTGTATGCATACTTTACATAAGAAGCTAAGCTTCAAGTTTAAAGTCCAGATTTATGCAGTAGCTTGCAGACCGAACATAAGCCACTGACTGTAGAGTATATAGTGTAGTTTAATGAAGTAAAACAAAATTCTCCCTGATCTTACCCTTAAAAATGACATTCATTGGTGTAATCCTGTTTATTAATTTAGGTCATATTAAAAATATTTTTATGAAATTTTATTTTTGAGTAAAATCAGTTAATTCTAATGACATATATATTTTTTTAGGTTACCTGAGATTTTCAATTCACTACATTTTTATTAAATATTTTTAAATTATATATATGTATATAGTATACATATTTTTAAAATTGAATTGAAGTTTTTATTGCTTTTTTGGAAGGCTGATAGGTAAAAGAAGTACAACATTACAATAATTATACAGGGTTACAGATTAGATTTGATATAATTTTATATTCAAAAACATATTTAAAAATAAATGTATCAAATAAATTAAAAATGGAAAAAAGTCATATTTTCTTTTAATAAATGCAGCCTAATGGGAAAAAAGTCATAATATTGTTTTAACAAATGAATGCAGCCTTGGCGAACATAAGAGTCTTACAGACCCCAAACTTTTTAAAGGTGGCCATCTGGTTTAGTCATGTTGAAATGACTAGTCCTACAGATGTAATCAAACACTGCACAAACTGTAAAATATGCAGTATAAAGCGTGAGGTAATTATGAAACAATCTAATGTATTCATATATAAAACAGTGAACCAGATTCCAGATGTATATGTAAACAGCAACTTTAGAACTCAGAATGTGGTTATTCTATTCAGAGGCAGAGTAATAAAACATTTATATATTTCCATGTCTGCACCATGCGCTGGTCATCATCAGCATCTGTATGCATTACACTGACAATGATTGATGGTTTATGTTGAAGTATGTTCAGTATATTTTATGCTGCTCTGTATAGTAGTAGCAATATTTTACTTTTGCAGTGGTAAAGCCCACAGCTGCCTAAATAAATGACTCTTACCAGCAACATATGCATATTTAGAGAGAATTCTCCCCTACAAGATAAGTTGAGAAACATAAGAGTCAGTGATTATCTTATCAACATCACTCAGCGCTTGAAAGTTGGTTTTCAATAGCTAGAGGTCAATTCTCAGTTTGTCAGGAAGTAATTCATCTTTAATGGCTTCCTTCCACTGAGTGCTCGGTTGCTTTAGCATTTATAATGTAAGACACGCCCCCTAGTGGAAAAATACTCTCATTATAAAAAGTCATTGCTCTTTGCGTGGAAGTACAGTCATTTTTAAGAGTTGTAATGTGCTGTTTATAACAAATTATATCATATTCACTCATGCTCGATTATGAATTCCAGTTTGTCATGTGTGTGTGTTTGTGTGTGTGTGTGTGTGTGTGTACCTGTTTTTCTATTCTGGTGGGGACTGAATACACACAGACTCATGGGGACCTAAATTGAGGTCCCCACGGGTAAACAAGCTAATAAATCACACAGAATTAAGTTTTTTGAAAATCTAAAAATGCACAAAGTTTCCTGTGAGGGGTAGGTTTAGGTGAAGGGTTGGTGTAGGACGCTAGAATATAAGGTCTGTACAGTATAAAAACCATTATGCCTATGGAGAGTCCCCACAAGGATAGCTGACCAGACATGTGTGTGTGTGTGTGTGTGGAATAAATAAGATGTTTAAATAACAAGGCCTCTGAATTGTTTCACCACCATCAAAATGAATATTCTCCAACAATCATGAAATATGTATTTGATTCTCCTTGATACCACAGAAAGCCTTTTTATGTGCCACTCTAGAGCGTAACACATCTCTCTTAGCGTGTAAAGCAAATCCTGCAGCTGGAAGAGGGAAATTAAACAACAGGAGATTAAATGTTAAACACAGTTGCATTTATGTGGATTGATTAGATATGTGAACAGCCTCATAACTTTCCCTGCACATTATTGGCAATGTCTGCAGAGTAAGTCGCTAATTTCCGTAATGATGTTACGTAAAGATTTTCTCGAGTGCTCTTGATTTTCAAAGTGGACCACTTTACTCTGGCACGGTCATTGTGGGGTATTTATCTGCTAAAATGCACAAATGCAGATTTGTCAATATTTACCGATGCCATAAAATGCAAGACAGTATTGCAAGTTCAATGTATCGATGCATTTTATTTAATATGCATCAATATCATTCACAGCTGAGCCCTGGATTCACTAAAGGCCTCGAGGAATAAATGTTTGAGAGGGAGCAAAGGACATTGTTATGCATAGGCCGGATAGACAGTCCCAAATTAGGACTGGTATGATTATAGCAATATTCTCAGAGAGGCAGGAGTGTAATTGTGAGGTAGATGCCCAGAGGATCTTGAACATTCAGCATGGTCTGCCACTTGACATTGCTCTAAACGTTTAGAACGATGACAGCTTGGCTGAGCATTGGGGCTGCCAGTCAATCTAACCACAGCTCTATAGTGACAATACTGCACATGGAGGCTTTTCAGTTAGTGAAGAGATCACAACGCACGCTTATGATATAATTGACTTATAATTTCACTCAGAGTTTATCTACCTTTCTAGCCATATTCAGTTGCAACATCACTGCCTGGAGAAAAAGGAGAAGAAGAACTCTGCTGGGAAGTGTGGTAAGTATTTTTAAAGTTATATTTACTCATTTTTTTTAGCCTCTGCTAAATGCATAAATGTAAATGTTATTTATTCTGATTAAAAAATAAATAAAAATAGATGAGCCAGAAATGTGTTTATTCTCTGTGGGAAATGAAAATTATATGGATATACATCAATAAATAATTATTATTTTAATTTCAACTAGCCTCTCATTAATAGAGTGCAGTGTTTTTAGATTCAGAAGTAGGGCTACTTGGTGATGTGCGATTCGTGAATGAATCGTTCGTTTCAAACGATTCTTTGAAATTCAAAGCATTTGCGCTGGCTTGACTATAAAAGGACGACTTTGTTGTAGAAACGTGTTGAAATAATAAATTACGCAACATTTGACATTTTTATTTATTCGAGCACGCTGGAAAATTATTTTGCGAAAACTCAAACAATAATGGATTTACAACCACCTTAGTGGCAAGCCATAATTTACATGATTGAAAAACGTCGTAATCCACAATGAATCCATAGGCCTATATATATATATATATATAAAACCTTATATATTTGGGCTAACTTTTGACAAACGACTCGAAAGAATCAGTGAATCGATTCTTTTGAACTGATTCATCAGACCGAAACGGAATGAATCGAATGTCCTATGATGCTGGCTGCTTTCTCTCTGACCGCCTCCAAACGCGCAGTCGGCGGTCATGTGCGCCAAAGCCCAGCAATCTACAGATGCGAGATCGGAGCGCCGCTCCTCTCCATCTCCTCACTCCTATGAGACCGTTCTCGGCGTTGACGTCATCGCGTGCTCCCTCCGGTTGCTACGGCAACCAGTTTCCCGTACCCCCCCGCACCCGCCCCCCATCCGTACGCTGGTAGGATCCGTAATGGTACAGGCAGCATCCTGCAGCACAATGGTGAGCGCGCAGTGATTCAGCATCGCAAACTCAGGCTTTAATCCTCCTCTTTTTGTTTCATCTACCTTTTTGTCTTTATATCTGTTTGATTCGTCCTCACAGTGGTCTTTAAATCCGTCGCGTACCGGGATGATTTGAACAGGACTGGACTGTCACCGGACCGGGATCGTCGGACGGGCAGCTGGCACGGAATGGTAGGTCGGTCTGTGGGAGATGTTGATGCGGGAACCTGAAGGGTGGGGTGATGAATATTGATCGCTATGAAGGTTAATGAAGTCGATGCCTTTGTAGCAAAGGAAAATAAATGATCAGTCACGACCGTCGGTGCGCACGAAAATGATCTCTAAAGGGCAGGATTTCTCCGGTGTTTACCGGGTCTGAGCGTGTGAGCGCACATCCATCCATGTTTTCCCTGCATCACTCACAGTCCTGCATCATATGTCCTGTTTCCAGTGACTGCAGGCCTTTGTTAGAATATGGACTGATAGAATCTGGAGTCACAACAATGACATGTACATGCAAGAGCAGGTCAGTATATAAGCCTTTTGTAAGCTTTATTAAGTACAATATAACGTTCTAATTCTACTTAAAGAGGCACAATCTGGATGATTTTTGCAGTTTAAGACTTTTAATTCTATATTTTAAGACCTGGAGTCTGAGATGGGGCATATGGTGGTTTTTATTTGATTTAATTTGTTTATGTGGGTATATGGTACCAAACATGAAACATACAAATCTTGCTGTGCTTTGATTTATTGCCACCTATGGTTGAAATATTAATTATTCAATTAAAATGAAAATATCATGAAACACTAAAACGTTTTTGGATGATATCAGATTTATGTGTGTGGCCCATGATGGAAGACGATGTTAGCATTTTTAATGTTAAGATCCAATTGGATTTTTAACGCCTTTTTTGGTTTCTGGCTCGAGATAAACATCAAGTCAGCATCACAGGATGTGACGTTTTCATGCACTTTAGTGCATCATTTTTCATAAGAGTGCATGGAATAACAGTCTCAAAAGTGATCAAAAATGCAAAATTGCATTCATATATATTCTTGACGTGAAATACAAAGGCTCTGCTTTTATTTTTGCATTATATTACATATACAAAATGACCTGGAAATATTTGTGTAATGTATAGCTTAAAAAATGAACTATAATGTATTTATGCAAACTGCCTCAATTAAACAAAGAGCTCTGTTATCACCCCTCTTCACTTAGGCTTTCAATGCTTACTTCCGTTTGCATTTTTCAAAACTGGTGAACTGACCTGTGCTGAAATGATACATGGCACTTTAAGCATGCTTTTCTTTAAATACAATGGCACAATATGGCTTTTAAACAACAGTAGTCAGTTGAAATGAGCTAATTACTGCAGGGTCTGGCACGGTGGGACGTCCATGGACCAATCATCCATAGCCCCCCAAAAAGACCCCATATGGCTAATTAGCCTGTTCCATTGTGTCTGTATATTGTTAAATCACATAACACTGGGTGCCCTGGTTAGATTCAGCCCACGGTTTAGTGTCAGAGGTTGTTGTGATCATCTGACTTCTCATATTCTCCAAGCGTGCTCACATTTTGATTAGTATTAAAAGAGTAACTTTGGGAATGAATTAGTGAAGCCTTGGTTCAGCAAACAATCCCTCTCTGCAAACTGACCTCGCTCCTAGGGAATTGTGTCTGTTTTTTCAAGGACTTGCGTCATTGATAGACACTTTTACCTCAATAGTTTATTGTAAATACGTAGATGCTTGACCCATCCAGTTATGCTGTCCACTGCAACAGGGTTAAACTTGTTATACTTATCAATATTTATTGACTTCCTTGTGTGTTTGCGTGATTATTCGGCTATTGTTTGCATTCATGTTGGATCAGTAAACGTCTCTGTGGATCTTGTTTTATGTGTCATTGGAAAGCAAATAGTGTTTTGTATAGCTAGTCACAGTTTATATTACAATTATATTACAACTATAGCGTTATGCTGTGTTTTCTGGTCTAAAGTAAAAAATGACATGTTTCTAAATGTCATATATACAAGCTCTGTGGGATTGCAAAGTCATAATTTAAACCCCTGCCGTACAGCCAAAGAGCAGTCCCACTTAATATTTTATGTTTTGAAGCCAGTAGCTTGTTCTGTCTCTGGTTGATTGTGGTTAGGATTAGTGGACCCCGGTTAAGCCATCTCAGTGTTGTAATGTTTCTATTGCAGGCCCACATTATGAAACTAAATTCAGCGTGTTACAGGCCAAAGCCATTTGTAATGAGTTTGTAGATGATGTCTGTGCTAACCAGCGAACACAGTGTTATTGGAATGGTATCAACATTGCCAATCTGCTGTTATCGACACTTTTTAATGTCAATGTTTGAAACATTCAGTGAAGTTCTTGACTCATGCCATGCGTGGGCGAGTTTTCAGAGATCTTTCTTAAGGTCATTGTTTTGTAAGAGGCTTTATTAATAAGTTGAATGTCTTTTGAAATATAGTGATTTGATAAAAGCAGAGCATTTGATAAAAGAAGTTATTTTGGAAAATCACAAAATCAAAAAGGTTTAAATAAGGCAGTTCACCCTAAAAGGAAAATTCTGGCATCCCTAATGTTGTTCTGAACCAGTATGACTTTCTTTTATCCATGGAAATAAGATGGTTCACGCTCCTATGAAAGTAAATGGGGACCATGGGCTGTCAAGCTCTGAAAAGGACAAAAAAGCATAATAAAAAGCATGAAAGCGTGCACTATATTCCAAGTCTTCTGAAGCAATGGTATAGCTTTCTTTGAGAAACAGGCTTAAATTAAGTCATTATTCCCTGACAATTTAGTTTGACAACCGTGATCACCATTAATTTTCATCTTATCTATAAGAGCACATACAATCGATATAATGCTATAAAAAATAATTGTTGTGTTCCACAGAAGAAAGTAAGTCATATTCACTAAATGATGACCGAATTTTCATTTTGTAGGTGAACTATCCCTTTAAGGGCTTAATACGACTGAAGATGACTATAAACCAGTATTAAAATACAAAACAAACACCTCATTCCTTAAAATATTATAATGTTTCTGCTATTTTATGACTATTTAGTAAGTCTGACCATTTTTAAACCCTAACACTTCTTTTCCATGTACATTTTCCATCATGATTTTCCCATTGCCAGTGATTTTGGGTCTTTCAGGATCAGCATTCTGAATGAATCATCCATGAAATCTTAAGACTTATTGTAGGCATGTGTCCAGGTGTATGACTGGTGATGTCATTTGCTGGTGGCCATGTGGGTTGGCAGGATGCTCATTATAATTGTAATTATGCGAGAGGAGGGGCGTGGCTTTACAGAGCTCCACCTGCTCCTCTTCTGAGTGCCTAGAGGTCTTTAGCACTCGCTTTTTATGTTTAGGAGTCACTATCTTTTATTAAATACTGTAAAAGCAGATGTTGTTCGATAATATCCAAACCACATGATCTGAATTTCAGGTTTTTTAGTCTGAACTCCCTCAAGCTTCCAGTGAGCTGTGAAGAGATTTACCACCACATTCGTTTTTTTATGCATCGTAAAATAATGTTTATCATCAGCGCTGTGGTATTCAATGAAATTTCAGCCTCAAGGAGAATGTTTCCTGTGCAAGGCGATGGTTTTAAGATACAAACCACAGAGGCTGCTGGAATTGATTCTGAAATTACGGAGCACAGCAGCCCGTGGCGAGAAAAACGCTATGAATTTATCGATAGCTTTTCACTTTTATGTTTGACCTCCTTCTATCACTTCAAAGAGAAAGTTAATTAGGACTTTTAGCATCTCAAGCTAAATAAATGGATTCAATAATAATATTTATAGGTTTGAAATTACATTAATTAGAAATGATCTGTGTTTAAAACAAGACATCCAAACTATCACCATCATTATTGGCAGATTTTGTTTTAAATATCAGTCCAGTATGAAGTCTTATTATACAAGAATAATTTATCTTCACATTAAATATGTTATGTCCCCTTCATATTTGATGAGTATTTGATCATGAGAGCTCTTCAATTGACAGATGGTGCAGTTATTGGCTTACCGTTTGTTTATATAATTACTTTCAGCTGATCATTAGGATTTGAGAGATCATCTTATGTAACTGATCGTTTCTCAGTAGTTGTAAATCCAGCAGCACCAACAACACACTTCTACTAAGAGTCAATTGCTTTATCTAGGCTGTCGCCGTAGATTAGTGTTCATTTTTATTTTCTAGTTATTGTTTTCTAGTGATATCTGGTATTTGATATACCAAAGCTATGTCCTATTGCAATGCCTGTGATTTTGTTTGTGATCTAGTGATTCCAAATCCATAAGATATTGTTTCTTTGGCTGAATACAAATGGAGATATTTTGCAGAATGTCCAAGCTGTTCCTTTCAATACGACAAAAGTGGATTCCAGTGCAACTAACATTGCATTAATGGCATACATTTCTTCATTTCATATATTCCTGGGAATTTAACCCATGACTTGCCGTTGCTGGCTTTATGTGAAATTCACACTCCAAAATGGGCAAAAAGCCCCATAAAGTGGTTAATTTGAAGTCTTCTGAGGCCAAATAATATCTTTGTGTGAGATACAGCATTAAAATTAAGTGATTGGATTTTGATGTGCCAGGCTTGAGTATGTACAAGAATAAATAATCATTAAAATTTAAATTTTTTGGGTAAACTATTCTGTTAAATACAGTAAACCAATAGAGCATGGAGCTAGCAATGCCAACATGTCATGAGTTTGCTTCCCATGGAAAACTGATTAAATGTATACCTTGAATCCAGTGTAATTTGCATTTGATGAAAGCATCTGCCAAGCATATGAAATGTAGATGCAGTCTTGACTATACAGTGTCAAATGAACATGTTGATTAATGTCTCTGATCCATTGTTTTGTCAGATAAATTAATCTCCAGAGGCATTAGTGTAAATGTCATGAATTCAAATGTTACATAAATAGATTTTCACTTAATTGCTTTTATTAGGTGTGTGACTATAGGTGTTTGTGTGTGTGTGAGTGTATTCTTTTTTCTCACACAGAGAAAGTGTAAGTCGTCATGCTCATGTTTAGAGAGAGTTCTGATTAAAGCTGGGAATACTACAGCTGTCAGCAGAGGATTTATCTGATAGTATTAATATGGACAGGAATTGTGGGATGTCAAACCACTGAAACATCT